CAAANTTTGTTGAGTATTTTTGCATCTATGTTCATCAGGGATATTGGTCTGTAATTTTCTTTTTTGGTGGGGTCTTTGCTTGGTTTTGGTATAAGAGTGATGGTGGCTTCATAGAACAAGTTTTGAAGTATTCCCTCCTCTTCTATTTTTTGGAAAAGGTTAAGGAGAATTGGTATAATGTCTTCTCTATATGTCTGATAAAATTCAGTGGTGAATCCATCTGGTACGGATGTTTTGTTCTTGGGTAGTTTTTTGATTATCACTTCAATTTCGTTGTTGGTAATTGGTCTGTTTCGGTTTTCTGTTTTGTCCTGGGTCAGTGTTGGAAGATTGTATTTTTCTAGGAAGTTGTCCATTTCTTCTTGTTTATCCAGTTTGTTAGCATAAAGTTTTTCACAGTATTCTCCAATAAGTCCTTGCATTTCTGTAGTGTCCGTCATGATTTTTCCTTTCTCATGTCTGATTCTGTTAATATGTACATTCTCTTTTTCTCTTAATATGTCTGGCTAGGGTTTATCTATTTTGTTTATTTTCTCAAAGAACCAGCTCTTGGTTGCATTGATTTTTTTCTATTATTTTATTCTTCTCAATTTTATTTATTTCTTCTCTGATCTTTATTATGTCCCTTCTTCTGCTGACTTTGGACCTCATTTGTTCTTCTTTTTCCAGTTTCAATAATTGTGACTTTAGACTATTCATTTGGGATTGTTCTACCTTCTTTAAATAGGCCTGGATTGCTATATACTTTCCTCTTAGAACTGCCTTTGCTGCATCCCACAGAAGTTGGTGGTGTTGTGCTGTTGTTGTCATTTGTCTCCATATATTGCTTGATCTCTGTTTTAATTTGGTCATTGATCCATCGATTATTTAGAAGCATGTTGTTAAGCCTCCTTGTGTTTGTGAGTCTTTTTGTTTTCTATGAAAAATTTATTTCTAGTTTTATATCTTTGTGATCTGAGAAGTTGGTTGGTAGAATTTCAATGTTTTTGAATTTACTGAGTCTCTTTTTGTGGCCTAGTATGTGGTCTATTCTGGAAAATGTTCCATGTGCACTTGAGAAGAATGTGTATCCTGCTACTTTTGGGTGTAGAGTTCTGTAGTCTGTTAGGTCCATCTGTTCTAGTGTGTTGTTCAGTGCCTCTGTGTCATAACTTATTTTCTGTCTGGTTGATCTGTCCTTTGGAGTGAGTGGTGTGTTGAAGTCTCCTAAAATGAATGCAGTGCATTCTATTTCCTTCTTTAATTCTGTTAGTATTTGTTTCACATATGTTGGTGCTCCTGTGTTGGGTGCATACATATTTATAATGGTTATATCCTCTTGTTGGACTGCACCTGCTTTTTTCTCCTTATTGTTTGCATGTAATATCTTTTTGCGTCCCTTGATGACAGCCTGATGGGTTTTCCTTTGTAGGTGACCTTTTCCCTCTCTCTAGCTGCCCTTAAAACTCTGTCCTTGTCCTTTATCTTTGCCATTTTAATTATTATATGTCTTGGTTTTGTCCTCCTTGGGTCCCTTGTGTTGGGAGATCTGTGGGCTTCTGTGGTCTGAGAGACTATGTCCTTCCGCAGCTTGGGGAAGTTTTCAGCAATTATTTCTTCAAAGACACTTTCTATACCTTTTATTCTTTCTTCTTCTACTGGTACTCCTATAATGCAAATATTGTTCCATTTGGATTGGTCACATGGTTCTCTTAATATTCTTTCATTCCTAGAGATCCTTTTATCTCTCTCTGTCTCAGCTTCTCTGTATTCCTGTTCTCTTATTTCTATTCCATGTCTCTTGTACCTCATCCCGTCTGCTCTTAAATCTTTCTATAGATTCATTTATGTTATCTGTCTCTGGACTTCATCCCTTAGCTCTTGCGTATTTCTCTGCAGGTCCATCAGCATGGTTATGACTTTTATTTTGAATTCTTTTTCAGGAAGATTGGTTATATATATCTCACTAGGCCCTCTCCTTGGGGTTGTCTGAGTGATTTTTGACTGGACCAGATTCTTCTGTATTTTCGTGGCTATAGAAGTGGTGGCAGGCAGATAGCACATATGTCAGCTGGGAGAACAATGTCCCTTCCTGCTTGCTGGTCACCTTGCCCTTCTTCGCTGCCTGTGTTGTTTACTGGGACACTGGGAGCAGTGTGTGGGATAATCCCCTGAGCTGCCATGAGCAGGGCCACCATCAGGCTAGCCTAGAGCCCTGTGGGGGGTCGCAGATGTGTAGGGTGTCTTCTCCTGTGAGAATGGCGTTCCTTTGTGCCTTCCATACCTAGCTCAGGCTTCCGCTGCTTGTGCCAGTTACCTGCACATAGGGAGCAGCCTCTGGGATAATCTCCTGATGTGCCATGGGCAGGGAGGCCCTCGGGCTAGCCTAGAGTCCTACGGGGGGTGGCAGATGCATAGGGTGTGTTCCCCTGCGAGAGCGGCACCCCCTTCTGCCCTCCGGACCTTGCTCTGGCTTCCTCTGTCTGTGCTGGGCAGTTGCACGCTAGGGGCAGCCTCTAGGTCTGTGTGGGTTAGCTGCATGGTGAGAGGAGACTATGGGTGGTTGCTGTGGGCGGGGCTGTTCTCCAGCTGCTCTGCAGCTGTGGCGGGTCAGCTGGTTTGCTTGCAGCACCGGCTAGGGGAACAAATGGCAGGCTGCTTATCACAGTGAGGGGCTTTGCGGCTGCTTTACCCCCCAGAGGGTTAGGGAGCCCGAAGTTCCTCAAGATTTGCAGCCTGCTAGGTTATGTGTGCTTGGACGATTTTGTTTAGCTGTTAAGCCATTGTCCCTTTAAGACTTTTAAAAAGTGCCTGCTTTTCTTTTCTCCCAGGGGAGCCAGCTGTGGGGACCCGCCTGCAGTCTCCATCTCCAATTTTACTTTTCCATTTCTCTAATATCCAGTACACCATGCAATGTGTGTGTGTGCTACCAGTGCAGGTTAGTAGGCTGGTTATTTAGCAGTCCTGGGCTTCCACTTCCTCCCCACTCTGATTCTTCTCCTCCCACCGGTGAACTGGTGTGGTGGGAGTTCTTGGGTCCTGCTGGGTCATGGCTTTGTATCTTACCCCCTTTGTCAGATGCTGCGTTCTCACAGATGTAGATGTAGTCTGGCTGTTGTACTGTATCTTCTGGTCTCTCTTTTAGTAGTAGTTCTATTTGTTGTATTTTTAAAAATATATATGGTTTTGGGAGGAGATGTCCACCACCGTACTCACGCCGCCATCTTGAGCCCCTCCACCAGCTGTATTTCTTGTATTAGGGTATATGCTAAAATATTCCAACTGTACATGCACCAAAGGAATGTTACTGTGCATGCACGGCCCAGCCCACTAGGCAAATTACCAGCCCCACACACATGAATACTCCCAGAAGACTCTACCCCTTAGTCAACCAGACCCTTTCTAAGAACTCAAACCTAGACACCCCATGGATGCTCATCTCTCCACATGCCTGCACTCCCTCTTTGAGTGTGTACTTTCACTTTTATAAACTGTTTGCTTCTACCTGCCTGACCTACTCAGAAATTCCTTACTGATCAGAGTTGACAACCCTCTCCAGGGTTGAGGTCTTTCCCACTGCGCAGAGAGAGACCTTCCTGGATTGGATTTCCTGACAATAGCAGCAGGTGTGGTAAGAGTGAGGAGGGGGTGTAGAGGAGAGGAAGAAGAAAGGGGACTTGGCCTTTGTGATTCAAATCACATACGCTTTTTTTTCACAACAGGCATGCATTACTTTGTAACAATATAAACAGAAAAAAAGAAACACTGACCTAGAAACTGTTCCAGGCCTGACCCAAATCTGGGATGCTTTCTTGAAGCCACTGCAAGCCCTCAGCATGCCCACTCACAGGGTGCAGGAGGCCTGTGGTTTCCTCCCACTTCCTGGAGGCAGGTACCCTCTCTCCTCTCCTCCCCTTCCCAGCTCCTAGGGTTACATCTGTCCCTGCCCTAGAATAGGTTGAGGGCTTAGGGAAAGAAGGTTCAGTAGGAATGCAGTGAGAGGGGCAAACCCCTAGATCTCCAAGCCCGGTGCTATGCCTATCGCTGGAGTCTTGCTGTGGCCCCACCTGCTGACCACTCCAACCTGGTTCCCCATGAGGTGAAGCCCAGACCTCTCACCATAGCAGTCAAAATCCTCCATGACTGGCCTCAGTCTTTCCAACATTGCCACACTGCAAGCTCTCTCATTCTAGACAAAACGTCTGCTCTTTACATCCAGTACCTTAGCTCTTCTCATTCGTGCTGCCCCAAACACCAATCTTTACTATCCCAGTCTCCACTGATGAAAGGCTTAGTCTCCTACTCATTCTGCAAGACCCTGTTCACATATCACTTCTTCTAGTGTTGGGAGCCGTGCCCAACCAGCCAGAGCATTGGGTCATCCCTGACCTCTCACAAGCTGCAACCGCACTCAAGGCAGTTCCCCTATTCCCAGAAAAGTCCTGTGTTATCAGCAGCGTACCCGGAATCCACCTAACCACAAACAGAGCTTCCTTATGCTTTGATGTAGAACACCGCTCCTGCTTCTGGCCTGCCCCCTCCCCTGAGAAGGGAAAGATGAGTATAGCACTTGGCTGAGGTCAGAGAAAGGCAGTATAAAAATAAAGGTGCTGCGCCACATCGGGGCTGCTGCAGCCATTGTCTGTCTATCTGTGTTGTCTGTGTTCTTTGTTCTCTCCTTTCACCTAAATAAGATGAGTGGCACATTACATCTGGCGCCCAACGCGGGGCGTCCTCTCAGAGTGAGGTTAGAGATAGATTAGAGTTTGCTTGCTTGCTTATGCTGTAGTAAAGAGCTTTAACAGAGACACAGTCCCGGCCTGCCTCCTGTCCAACCCGCGCACTGCTGGACGGTGCACTCTAGGAAGTCTCCCATGTTCCTTCCAGCAGGAAGGGTTCTCTCCCTCTCTTTTCCAAGCCTCCATTTCTATGTGGTGACTGTGGTGAGAACTGGGAGTGACACACACTTAGTGTCAAGTAACATTTTTTAAACTATACAGATTAACATTCCTATTTTCCAGATGAGAAAACCGAGACCCAGACAGAGACAGTAACATGTCCAGGGATACCTCCAACATGCAGACTCCTGTCATGATGTCTCTGCTGCTTGTGTCCATGGGCCTCATAGAAACACTTCAGGTACGGTCATCCTCTCCTGTCCCCAGGCCAGCAGGAGCTGAGCTGTCGGCTTTGTCTGAACTCTGGAAGGAGAAAAGAATGCCTGATGCTTCCCTTGGGCTTGACTCAGTCTGAGGGGACAGCCCCAGACCCTGGTCTCCAGGAGTCTGCAGCTAATTGTTCCCAATCCCCTCCTGGTCCAGGTTTGTTTGGGGTCCTGAGCACCCTTCCCACTTCAGTGGAGGGGGAAGCTGGATGATAGGCTTCTGTTCTCCTGGGGCCCATCCTCTCTGTCCTTGCTGTTGCATTTCCTTTAGGTCCAGAGTCTCCCCATCACACGACGGGACCTCTTCTCTCAAGAAATGCCCCTGGACATGGCCCCAGCCTCCTTTGATGACCAGTACACTGGCTGTTCAGCAGCTATGACAGCCGCTCTCCAGGATCTCAACCACACAGAGTTCCAGACTAACAAAGTATATGCAGAAGGCTGGGCGCTGGCAAGCAGCCAATGGCAGGCGCGCAGGGCCTGGGGGCCAGAGTGGGGCCTCAGTCCTACCCGTCTGCCTCTGCTGCCTCCTGGCTTCCGTGATGAGCATGGGGTGGCTCTCCTGGCCTACACAGCCAACACCCCCCTGCACAAGGAATTCAACGCAGCTGTGCGTGAGGCGGGCCGCTCTCGGGCCCACTACCTCCACCGCTTCTCCTTCAAGACCCTCCATTTCCTGTTGACTGATGCCCTGCTGCTGCTGGGCAGGGGCCGGCATCCGCCCCAGTGCCACCAGGTGTTCCGAGGGGTGCATGGCCTGCGCTTCCGGCCAGCAGGGCCTGGGGCCACTGTAAGGCTGGGGGGCTTTGCCTCTGCATCCCTGCAGAATGTGGCAGCCCAGCAGTTTGGTGAGGACACCTTGTTTGGCATCTGGACCTGCCTCGGAGTCCCTATCAGGGGCTACTCCTTCTTCCCAGGGGAGGAGGAGGTACTAATCCCCCCCTTTGAGACCTTCCAGGTGATCAATGCCAGCAGACCGGCCCAGGGCCCCGCCCGCATCTACCTCCGGTCCCTAGGCAAGCGCAGCATGTACAACTGTGAGTACATCAGAGGTAAGCAGGGCAGGTGCGGGGCAGCACCTGTGAGGGTGGGTATCCCTATCCCATTTTCAGGTGATACATACATAAATATTAAAAACAAATGAGCATAATGTCATTGTACATCTTCATCAGAGCTCTTGGGTGACCATGTGAATTGTCAGTAAACAATAATTTAAAAAAAACAAAAACAAATGAGCAGTAGGGGGGACCCAGTCCTGTACCCCAACCCCTTCCATCTAGGAGAGACACACTTTTGAAGTAACATGAGTCTGTCCCTGGAGGTATCTAAGCCAGAGCTGGCCACTTGCCTGCTGGGAGGCTAATGAGTGTTTCCTGACCAAGGCAGGTGTCTGTGGCCATTTGAAGGGCCAAACAGACCTGGTCAGGCTTTTCTCCTAGCTGGAAGCCAGAATGGAGTTAATTCTAGCCACAGTACTGACACCCACTGCTGTTGCCAGAAATGAGTAAGAGCTCCAACTTTGGTTTTCAAAAGGAGCACAGGTCTTTGACTAAACAGAATCCCTATGCTGTCATGTGTGCTAGGTGGGGTGCAGGTTGGGGTGAGACTGTAGTTGGGTGCTGTGCCCAAAGTTCCAGCTCAGGCTGTGGCAGGTCTCAGATACTCTTCCTGTCCGTGCCCCCAGGACCAGGCGGAGGAGTCATGCAGACAGACCCCGGTTCTTCATCTCTGAAGGGGCTGTGGGCTGCTGGTCCTGGCTGGGCAGTGCCCTGGGCCTTGTGAGGTCCAGCTGTCATAGTTAGAGGCAGGTTGTTGGCTGGCATTGTGGACCATGTCTAAAATGGGAGCAGGTCCAGAGGGGCTTCAGTTCCCAGCCTGGACAGCTTTGACAGAAAGTGAGGAAGATATACAAAGAATTAAACTAGCCCCTTCTTGGCTGGGACAAGGTACAGAAGAGGGACAGGTGGGTGTAGGGAGGCAAAGCTATAGGTCAAGGGAGCAAGAGGAGTGCCCCAACTGGACTTGTGAGCTGGCTGCTCCTGCTGCTCCTGGGTCAAGTCAAACTGAGGTAAGGGAGTTCCCATCTTAAGGAAGCAGAGTTAGGAGAAAATGCACCAGTTTTTCCTACAGCAAGTCGGGGATGGACCACAGGGCCCTGGGTTCCTTCCTGTCCTGAGAGTTATTGAACCTTTGATTCTTTACTGTTTCTTCCTACAGACAATCAGTGCAAGTCTGGGCCCTGCCGTCTGGACAACTCAGGTAAGGGCTGCAGGCATCTGTGGGGCTCAGTTCCAGGATGACCACGCTGTCTGGGTGCTCTCTTAAAAGGAAAGATCCCTTTTCTGGATAGATACTCTCTTAAAAGGAAAACAATCCCCTTCTAATAAAAAAAAAAGTAAACTCTCCAAAGAAGACACATGTAGGGGTTGCTAATCTCTCCCAGACTAAGCAGACACATGTAAGGGTTGCTAATCTCTCCCAGACGGTGTGTATGTGTGCATGGGGTGGAGGCCACGCAAGCTGACACACCTGCCCCTCTGTCCAGGGCTGCCTGCTCCCTCGCAGGAGACCACTAGTTCAGGCTCCAGAGAGACCCCTGCACTGAGGTGGAGGAGGGAAGGGCTGCTCCCACAGAGTCCTCCAGGGCCTTCCCCTCCTTCAGCTACAGAAACCACTGTCAGTTTCTGTGACCGAGCTCTCAGGGCTCCCTAAACCACCTTCCAAGTCCAGGTCAGGCCTTGGGTGCTGGGGACCTGGACTCTAGTCCAGGCTCTGCCCTAACTCTCTCTGTAAGCAATCATTCCCTCTCTGGGCCTCAGTCTCCCTGTATGTATAAGTGTATTCTATGAGGTGAACCCCAGGTCCCTTTTAGTTGTAACTCTTCTCTTCCCCTAAACACCTGCAGTGCCAGGACCTGCCTGGGCCACTTCTCCAACTGGGAACAGGCTTTCCTAGGGGACCCGACTGGAACAGGCCATTCCCAGGAAAGAAACTGTAGCCTCCCCACTTCCTTGGGTCCATCCTCCCTCGGGGCTCTGTGAACAGTGGGTAGGAGGAGCCCTAGCCTCCACTTGTTCCTGCCATTCTCCAAGACATATCAGAGTTCCAGGCACACCATTCTATGAATCTTCACTGTGATCCGTGGTGTAGGTACTGTCAACACCCCTGTTCCACAGATGAGGGAACTAAGGCACCAGCCCTAGACACATAGCTAGTAAGGGGTGGGGTCCAGACAGCCTGGCTCTAGAGTTGAACTCTGAACCTCCTCACCAGCTGGACTCCACCTTCCCCAGACACCATCTCACATTGGGGTTGAAATGGAAAAGAGGCAGACCAGGGAGAATTACCCTCATTATACAGTAAAGTGAGATCCAGAGACAGAAGTGACTTGCCCGAGGTGACAGAGTGAGTCAGTGATCTCCAGCCTCCAAGTCAGCTTCCCTAAGTTCTGATGATGTGATCTCAAGCACGGGAAAAGCTGAGGATGTTTTCCCCCAGTCCACCAGCACCTCTCCTACCAGGGTTTAGGCAGAGGAGCAGAGGAAGCATTACTAGATTCCACTTGGTTCTCTACCCTGTGCATCACTCTCCCCTTCAGTGTGTCATTTGTGTCAATAGGAAGCAGGGGGCTAGACCGCATGACCTCTGGAAAGGGAACTGGGACTTTCCTTTGTCTCTTCATTTCTGTCTGCCATCACACCTTTTGTATTATTTCCTGTTCATTCTGCTTGTTCCTCATTTTGTTTCTTTGTGTACCTTACTTTGCCCTTAAATCTGTTTTCCCTGCAGCCACGGGTCAGGGGCCCCTTTGTGCAGTCTGGTCCCTTCTGTTGCTGCTCTGTTTCCTTGTCAAGGGAGACTTTCCAGAGAGTCCAGGCCTCCTGTGATCCATCAGACCTGAGCAGCCCTGCCTGCCACCTCCGCCCAACATGAGGATGCCAGCCACATGTGTGCTTTACGAGTAGCCAAGATCCATGGTAACTCTATCTGCAGTGAACTCTGGGACCTTCTCTGGCAGCTGCCTGGTGTGCTGGTGGAGAAATAAGTGAATTTTGGGACTGACCCTTACCCAGGGCTCTAAGAGTGACACTGAATGGAGGTGGGATGACTCTAGGACAGGCAACAACTAACTTGGAAGTGGAAGGTTTAACTAGTTTTTGTTGGTGGTGGTGGTTGGGGGGTAGTGGCTGGAGAGGAGAGCACTTGGCCATGCTGTTTGCTTCTCAAATGCTTGATGTGCACCTGGGAGGCTTCTATTCACTTCTCCAGGAAGCCTTTTCTGGCCTCTCCCACCTTCCTGGGTTGGGGGGCCTCTGTGCTCCCCCGGGTCCCAGATGCTTCTCTGTACCAAATGTTCAGGACTGTCTCCCATGTCAGACTGTGAGCTGCCTGAGGGTGGTAACTGGGTCTGAGGTTCAGAGGTGGTGCCGGAATACGTGTGAAAAAGTCAGGAAGGGACAGATGCCCTGTGAGTGGCTGGTCCCTGTGCTGCCCCTCCCTTGGGCACTTTTAAGTTCTCTGAATGTCAGTGTATGGAATGGGGTGGATTGGACCTAACTTCAGAGGGCAGAGAGCAGAGAGCTTTAGGTTCTCTACCGGGATCTCAGTTGAATCCCAGTCATTTTCTTGTCAGCATAGAAGTGACTTCTGCTCTGACCTATGAACCCTAAGGTTCCTGTCTGTACAGAGACAGGCCTGGATCCCCAGCTTCCACCATCATGGGCCCAAGGGCAAGAGAGGAAGGACATTGAGGAGGTGCTAAGCACACACTTTATTATGAGTTGGGGCTTTGGGGCCAAATCCTTGTGTGACCCTACTCTGGAAACTAGACCATGAATCCCGAATCCCCTTCCCTTGGCCCCTAGGCAGGACAGGCAAGACTAAGTCCTTACAACAGCAGCTGTGAGAAAGGAAGAGACGCAGGAAACGCGGCAGTTCTGCCTCTCACATGCCCTGCACTGCCCCCAGTGAGAGCTCTAACACTCAGCATCGAGGTTCGCTTCTGTCCCTCCCGGACTGTTCTCTGGTCTGGATCCTTCCTCTTCTGTAGGAATTAGGAGAGGCAAGCTCTGGATTTCCCCTAGAGGTTAAGTGCGCAGACAAGTGGTTTGTGAGGTCGGCAGTGCTGATCCTGAAGAGGAGGTGTCCCAGGCTCTCTGGCACCGTGGGGAGAGTGTGGGTGGGCCATCTGAGGGCCGACCACTACCTGGCCTTCCAGCCCTGTCTGGAGGTGCGGTGGCTTGCAGCAGACACTTGGGACTCACAGGGCCTGCACCAGCACCAGGAGACTCATGACCAGCGCCATGGAAAAGAAGATGCCCAGGAAGAAACGGTCCATCACACGGGCCAGGCGTTTCCAGTCCTCATGGCGGTGCTGGGCAGCCCTGTGGCTGTGGAAGGTGTTAGCAATGGTGGCTACATGGTGCAGTAGGGCTTCCTGACGGCACAGACACCACGGGTCACAGCAAGGGCCTGCTGGGGGGCCAGCCCCTCTGTCAGGAGGCTGGGGACTGGGTGGTGACTCGGGCGGTCTAGACAGCCCACAGGGCTCCCCTCGTTCCTGCACACACAGGCCCCGGGCCAGGTGTCCCAGCAGGAGGGCCCGAGCCCAGGCTGGCACTGGGCGGGCACTGGGACCACAGTAATGCAGGTTCATGATAAGGATGGTGAGTGCCGTCGAGAACGTAACCATGGTCATAGTGGCCATGTAGTACTTCCCTGTAAGAGAGATAGCGAGCTAGGGCCCAAAGCAGGAATTCGGGGGGCCTCAGCTTCCCAGCCGCCTCAGTACAAATACAGACTAGCTCTCCACCACAGGCTTTCAGGACACTCGAATCCCCACGGATGGAAGCAGGAAGGAGGTAAGGGCCAGAGTCTCCCCATCCTGCATCAGTACAAGTGGGTTCTCAAAAGCTACCTGCTCCTTAATTGTTCCCATCACTGCTGAAGGCCACAGTGACCCACAATCCATGAGACACGCTCTCAAACAGTGGGAACATGACCTGCGGCAAGTTACTGTTCGTTTGGTACAGCTGGGGTAACAACAGAACCAACCTCATAGGTTTAAGGTGATGTTTTGCTGAGTTAATAAATGTTAAGAGCTTGGCACACGGTGACACTGGGGACATCCACCTTTTTCCATTAAGTCCTTGAGAAAAGATCAACTTCTTCCTGCCCCACAGCCTGTGAAGGGAGGGCTGTTCTCCCTGGAAGGCGTTTACTCCTCAATCTCAGAATGAGGCAGCCTTCCAGAACGCGCCCCCTCAAACTCCAAGCAGGGTCCCTCCATTAACACAGGCCCAGTCCCCACTCTCCGCCCCTGCGCAGGTGGAGAGCTGGGCACAGCGGCCCAGGAGGGGCGGGGCCGGTCTCAGGGCCCGTCTCTTCTCCCCGCTCATCGCCCCGCCCCCACGCCACCGGGTGAGCCCCGCCCCCGCCCGCCGGCTCACCAATGAGCGGCACGCTCTCCGCGGGCGGCATGCTCTCGGCCAGGAGCAGCTGGAAGACGGTAAGCGCCAGTAGCACGGTGACGCCGAGCGACACCTTCTCGCCCGAGTCAGCGGGCAGGTGGAAGGCGAGCGGCGCGAGAAGCGAGATGAGCACGCAGGGCAGCAGCAGGTTGCACACGTAGGCGGCGGCGCGGCGGCGCAGCAGCAGCGTGAAGGTCACGTCCGGGTAGGGCTCAGAGCAGCAGCCGTAGGTGAGCACGCGCCGCCGCGCCGGCATGCCCAGCACGCGCCACTCCACGTTCTCCACGAAGTCCGCCAGGCTGGCGGCACTGCCGCGCGGCCGCAAATCCAGCTGGTGCCCGCCGTGCGTCCATGAGCCGAACGTCAGGCCGCAACGCTGCGCATCGAACGGGAAGGCCGACACGTCCACGCGGCAGGAGCTGCGCGTGATTGCCGGCGCGTCCCAGCGCACGGCGCCGTCATGCCGCAGGACCACGTTGGTGCTGGCGGAGGCTGGCGGCTGCGCGTCCGCCCTGTGGGGCAGGCGGGATGGGGCTCCCTAAGGTGCCTTGGGCCTGCCTGGGCCCCTGAGGCCAGGGCAGAGTCCAGCACAGCTCTGGAACTGCAGGGCAGGGGATCCGACGGCCCTAAAGCCAATGGGAATGGCATGGAGGATAAAGAGAGGGCCCTCAGTGCCTCTGGAATCCTGGAATGGGCAGGGCCTGAAGGGCCCATAAGGGACACAGATCTACCCAGAGCAACATAAAAAAAACCTCTGCAAAAGACTTCAGGTGGCACAGTGACTACAGTGACTACCCTTGAGGGTCTTCTGCAGATCTCTTAGAGGGGCTCTGGGGAAATTATGCAGGGCCATTTGTTGTCTGGGACAAAACTGGCTTAGGCATCATAAAAGAATGCTCCAGAGGGCTAGGCCTTGGGAGAAATTCCTAGGCAGGTCCTTGGGGAGGGAATCCTGAGAGACTCAGAGCCGGCCTAGAAGGGTGGAGTATGCCGTAAAGAGACATTTATGCCCCAGAACCGTCTCCATGAGAGATACAGAACTGTCCCTGGACCACATGGTGGCTTCCCAGGAGACAACCAGCCTGACTGTGGGGATGCTATGGAGGGAATGTGAGCTCCTGGAAGTTTGGAAGGGTCTGGAGGAAAGATTCCAGGATGGCATAGCAACCAGGATAGGTGGGAGACGGGGTGATCAGTGCATATCCAGAGCCAAGGGCAACTCTAAGAAAGAGTGTGAGAGAGGAGGGGCCCAGGCAGGCAGTACTTGTTATAGAGTACGATGTCTGGCCGCCACACGAGACTGCTGGGGATGCGGATGGCATCCAGGCCACCATAGGCATCAGGGTCCCACCGTAGGAAAGCATCTGTCCACTCCTGTCGGATCCACAGGTACAGGGTCAGCACCTGGTTCCGCTCATCCTAGTGGGTCAGAGAGTGGCCACATGCATATGCATACTCTCCCATGTGTGTGTGTACACTCACCTACAGAGCTCTGGATGGTACCCACAAACCTGACTTGCCCATATAGTCCAGTTCCCTCCCAGGCTTGACCTTGCTTTGTGGCCTTGGCAGATTCTTCTCTGGCCCTCAGTTTCCTCAGCAGTTACATGGGTGATAATCCCTGCTAGGCAGGAATTAGTGTGCAAAAATGGTGGGCACATTGTGGGCACCCAACAGTATCAGCAATTAGTAGCTATTATTATTATTGACTTTAATGTTTACAGAAAAAAATCGGAGAATAATCCCAGGCTCTTAACTTTCCACCCCCATTCCTTGACAGTCACAGGCACACTCCACCACAACACACCATGTCGATGATCTGGGACAGTGTCACCTCCAGGGTCACGTTCAGAGCCTGGTCTGTGTCTGCCACAGGTCTCAGGGCACTTGTGTAGTTGGCGAAGAGGTCACAGAACAGCTTCTGAGCCAGTCTGCCTTCAGCTCCCAGGCACTCTGAGGGGCCAGTAAGAAGGGTTGTCCATCTGAGACCCTAGTCCAGGGGCCTCTGCTCCACACCCACAGGGCTAGGGCCCTAACACCTGCTACACTATTTCACAGCCATTTGACTGGTCCTGACATCCGCTCTCTGTCTAGCTGCAGCTCTAGCTCCTCCCTAGCCTGCCTCCAGGGATGAGTGCAGTGAATGCCATGGAGTAAATTGGTACTGTCTTCTAGAGCAAGGCTGACAGGTTTCTTCCCCATCCTTCCCTTCCCAAGGACCTGGATTCTGCCTGCACTGCTACAAATGCTAGAGGGGTCCCAGTGGTCCACAGGAGTCCCACCTCTCACCCAGATATTCTGAGCCCCATTGCCTCACTCCTCCAGTCTCTCAAACCTGTCTCCACTGCTCCAGTTGCACGTCAGTTGATTTCTTCAAAGCTTCGGATACTTTGGGCCATTCCTTCCTGAAAACACTGTCTTTCCTAGACTTTTGTGACACATCACATTGTCCTTG